ATCACAAAAAGCGACCGTTTTCGCTACCTAGGATCTATCTTACAAGAGAACGGAGAATTAGATGGAGATCTCAACCATAGAATACAAGCTGGATGGATGAAGTGTAAGAGTGCATCCAGCATGTTGTGTGACCGTCGTAGGCCACTGAAGCTCAAGGGAAAATTTTATAAGACGGCAATAAGGCCAGCGATGTTGTATGGCACAGAATGTTGGGCGGTGAAACATCAACACGTACACAAAATGGGGTGTAGCAGAGATGAGGATGCTTCGTGGGATGTGTGGGCACACGAGAAAGGATAAGATTGAGAATGAGGATATCCGAGGTAAAGTAGGAGTAGCCGAAATTGAAGGAAAGATGAGAGAAAATCGGTTCCGGTGATTTGGACATGTGCAAAGAAGGCCGACTGACGCTCCGGTTCGAAGATGTGACTACGGGACAGAGGTTCAGGGCCGAAGGGGTAGAGGAAGACCTAGGAAAACTTTGGAAGAGACTCTAAGAAAAGGCTTAGAGTACTTGGATCTAACGGAGGACATGACACAAAACCGAGCGCAATGGCGTTCTAGGATTCATATAGCCGACCCCACTTAGTGGGAAAAGGCTTTGTTGTTGTTGTTGTTGTTGTTGCTTGAATAAAACCGTCCCTGGGATTTACCAATTGTTCCAAACAGCAAAGTAAAAAAGATAAAACCAAGAAGTCATGAAAAACAGACAAACGATTGGAACCTCACACTCAATTTAGCAATTTGACCTATCTATTACATGGGTAAATTTAAATCGATAATCCTTATTCGCACCGTTCTACGGGATAAACGTGATCTTACATGCGATTATGATTAATAAAAACAAACAAGCTTGTACCACTTTGAACAGTTGCAAATTCGGACAACACAAAACTGCTAAAGAAATCTGAAATTAACTGGAGATTGCTAGAAAAGCTGCTCAGAAAGAGAGGTAACTTAATGCTGCTGCAATTACTTACTGGCAGAGTTTCTCAACCGCCGTCACAATCTGGGCAGGTTGAACAACAGTCACTTCCTCCAACGTTGCAGCATACGGAGTGGGCACATCCTGTGAAGACAGGCATATGATAGGGGCATCTAAATAATCATGGAAGTTCTCGGTGATTGCGGCAGTCAAACTAGCACCAATTCCACCTGTCCGCATGCACTCCTCCACAATCAGCACGCGGTGTGTTTTCTTCACTGAGTTCCCAATGGTGTGAAGATCAAATGGCTTCAACGACCTAATATCAATCACTTCGGGATCATAACCCTTGTTCACCAAAGTTTTGGCAGCCTGCATCACATGATACCTCATCCGAGAATATGTCAAGATAGTGACATGCTCCCCAGGCCTGACCATCTCAGCTTCTTCAAGATTGCACACATACTCTTCGTCTGGAATTCTCTCCTTGAGATTGTACAGCAACACATGCTCAAACAGAATCACTGGGTTATCACTTCGAATGGCAGCTTTCATCAAACCTTTGGCATTGTAAGGGGTTGAGCATGCAACCATTTGAATTCCGGGAATAGATTGAAAATAGGACTCAAGACGTTGCGAGTGCTCAGCCCCAAGTTGCCTTCCCACTCCACCAGGACCTCGGATAACCACTGGGATTTTAAACTGACCACCAGAAGTGTAGTGGAGCATACCACAGTTGTTGGAGATCTGGTTAAAAGCCAGCAGAAGAAATCCCATGTTCATGCCCTCAATAATTGGTCTTAGACCAGTCATGGCAGCTCCAATACCCATACCCGTAAAGGAGTTCTCAGCGATAGGAGTATCAAGAACCCTGAGATCCCCATACTTATCGGCCAGGCCCTTGGTCACCTTGTACGATCCTCCATAGTGGCCCACATCTTCACCCATTACACATACAGTGGGATCCCTGGCCATCTCTTCTTCCAATCCTTCTCGCAAGGCTTCGAAAAGCAGAAGTTCATGCCTGAGGAAAGAATGTTTGTCTTGTTAATTCACACCTCAATGAGTATAAGTGGAACTATATAACTATCAAAACTATACTACGATCTATGCGATTCTCTTGTCCAAGTATATCACTTAACCTATAAACCACTTATCAATTTCAAGCAAAGAAAACTGCAGAGAATATGCAAGTACTATACGGTGACAACTCACAAGAAACTGTTAGAGCGAGTAATGAATAGGACTATATGCAGGGGAAAGAGAAAAACCAAAAGTGAATTCAATACATTTCTTTTTTATCAACAAATTCAATACATTCCAATTCAAAGGATATCAACGGACAAGAAACATCCAGTATGACGTGTATCTTCCCGTCCTTTTCATCTAATTAAGGAAATTAAAAGCTGCACTAACTCAACAATATCGTGAATTCTAAATACAAATTCATGGTTTCATTCTGAATCTTGCAATTACAGTTCACTACATGGCAAGCAAAGCCTTGATGCAAAAAATTCAAATTTTCACGATTGCGTGCAGTATAAATGCGATTCACATCTTATATCTACAGACCCTGTTTCCACAATAGCTTCTATTTTACTCAAAAAAAAAAAAAAAAAAATTGATTGCATACAAAACACAAATTAATCACACGATTCATCCAAATATACTCGAAAATTTTCCGATGATGAATTGGAAACAACAGTCACCCGAGGTCGAATCCTATTCTAACATTCCTCAACATTGAATTACATGCATAACCCACACGTTAATAGTGGTAAAATGTGAACTTTTTATGTACGAGTATCGAGTTTATAGCTAAAACTGAGCTCAAAAATTAGCAAACACAAAAACATACCCAGGTTTCGATGCGGTCGAAGCTGCAGCACCATCAGCTTTGGTCTTAAAAAAAAAAAAAAAAACCCAACAACTAAATTCAGAACTCCAGGCATTACAGATAACAACAAAATCCGAAATCAATTCCAAAAGTTAAAGAGAGAAAGGAAAAGGAGATGATTAACTGCAACAGCATTGGTAATCAGCTGATCAGCCCGGCGAGCCTTCGAATTCGAACCCGAGCTGACCCCGGCGTCAGATCTGACAACAAAGAAGCTCGCTTTCCTCCCTGAATCAAATCAAAACACAAAAATTAGCAAAATTTTAAAAAGAAAAATCAACGGCGCCGGAGACGGAAAGGCAAAGAAAGCGGAGTACGGCGGCCGACCTGGGAGGGATCTGCGGGAAGGTAGGTGGAGCTTCCTGGAATTGACGGAGGAGACCGACAGAGCGGCAGCGGCTCCGAAGCACTGAGAGACGGTGGCCATCGGGAAAATTCGGAATTCGTTCTCGAAATCCGACGCTGAAATTCCGAGAAATCCCGAACCGATTGGGGAAATTGGAGCGAATGGAGTGGAACCGGAGCGGGAGAGGAAGCTTATATGAAGGATTTGGGCGGAGGGATTGAGAAATTGGTTCGGCGATTTAATTGAGAGAGACTCGTGACTCGTGCATTCACAGTGTCTTCCGCTTAGTTTTCATCGCCTCCATCTAGGTTTATGATCCCCTGCATGCGGGCGCTGGAGTAGAGTTGTATAGAGTCAGCCGCGTAAGATAAAAGGTCAGTGAAATTACGATATTAGGGCAATGTGATTACGTGGATGGTTGTGAGTGGGTGTGCGGGTTGTCGGGGGAGGTGGTTGTATGGTGTGAATTAAAGTTGCCGTTGAAGGTGTTGCTGTGTGGGGCACTTGTTGGTTAACCAACTGAAGATACGTTTCTTGAAGGAATCGGACGGCTCAAAATTTATTGGGTTTAAATGGGCCGGCCCGCCTTGGTACTGGACTTTTGGATTTGAATGGGCCCGCCAGTTGTATTATACGTTGTCCTCTAAACTTTCAATTTGGTTGTCGTGTCAAGTATTTTCCGACGTTAAAGGCGTCAAACGGGTCAAACCGGCCCACGTGGGCTTGGGCAGAGTTTCGGCCAGCCCACTTAATAGATTAATTGTGCTTGGGCCCATCCGCTTAATAGATTAATGATGTATTCAATTGAAATTTTTAGAGGTTTTAATTATTTTAATGAATCTAAGCGTATTCAATCAGAATTTTAAGTGATTCTTTGAAATTCAAGGTGTATTCAATTATAATTTTAAGATAATTTATTAAAATCCTTAGAAATCCGGCTGTATTCAATTAGGATTTTAAATAAGTTTATAACATTCTAAGTGTATTCAATTAGGATTTTAAAGAAGTAGATAACATTCTAGCTGTATTCAATTAGAAAGTGATTTTAAAAAATTTGAAAAAATTGAGGAATTATAGGGAATTGAAGAGATTTCATAGTGTATTTTAAGCATCCGCAAGTCTCACATCTCCCATGAGATTTCGAGGGAATTGAATCAAAATTTTATATGAAATCTCTATAAATCAATTAAAATTTATAAAAAATCATTAAAATCTCTCAATTTCTCAATTGAATACACCCCCTAAGCATGCTTACATGTGGTGGTTATTGTTAATGGAAGAGAATCCTCTATGAATTCATTTTGTAAGGATTCTAAGGATCTTCACATCATAACCGTTTATCATATATCGTGCGATTAGTTTTCGTCAGGTACTATTTGTGTTTAATTTTAAATATAAAAAAATCAAATGATTTCTAACCGTACGATACACGATTAAATGATTAAAATGTGGGAATTCGATTCCCACAAAGTGGATCCGAATGGAATCGAATTCCATTGTTAATACATCTCGTCACCTTTGTCCAATAAATAAACTAGCATATGGGCACACACAAAGTGTGTGTGAGAAATTTTTTTTTTTAATTCTTTATTTTTTAATTTTTTTAATTAGAGATATATTAGGATTATATGTAGGTGAGGCTTTGAAAAAAAAAATTTGGTTATATGAAATTATATTTCTGCCCTATATTTCTTATTCATGTTTTGTTTTAATTAAAGGATTAAACTAATAATTTCATAATATTTTGATTGATAATTAGTGTTTTATTATTTAGTAGAGATAAATAAATAATTATTTTCAGACAAATTAATCCACTGGAATGGAAATAAAGGAGAAATCCGGAGACAAAAGGGCGCGTGGACAATGGAGGTATTCTATCTGTTATGCTCAATCCTCTCCACCTTTCTCACTTCCCTCACTCTCTCCCTCCTCCTCCCGTTCCACACCCTCCTCCGCCGCTTCTCTTCACGCGCCGCCTCTTCCTCTTCCACCTCCCTCTACGAAGGCACCGTCTGGCACGAGCGCCGCCGTCCTGTTCACCACTCTTTTCGCTATGCCGTCCGCTACGCGCTCATTGACCTCGATCACACGCCGCAACCCCTCCCCAACCACCTCTCCGCCGACGAAGCTCGCCGAATTGCCGGCACCGGTGGCCGAACGTAATTATTAGCTTAACTATCATTTGGGTTTTGCTTTTGGTTAATTAAACAGTTCATAATTTCTGCGTTTGCTGATTAATTTGGTGTTTGATGAACAGCTTGCTTTTGACAATTCCGCAAAGCGTGGGATATGAGCAGAACCCACTGAGCTTGTACTACTGTTATGATGTTGGTGAGCAGCTTTTGAAAAAGTGCATTGCTGAGGTTTGCTTTTTTACTTTGCTGCTTGATTATGTTTAATTAGACATCGGAAAACTTACCTGCGAATCACAGTTTGACACGCGTGTGGATTTATGTATTCGCTGCTGACCCACTGTTGAATGCTGATATATATCTGAATTTAGGTAACCAACACACCATGGGGAGAAAGAGTGACATTTGTGTTCAACCCAAATTCTGATTTAGTGGCAAAACCATTACATGTCAGCCCTTTCATGGTATGTTACTGTTTTTTAGTAGTAATTTGATGTGCCTTAGTGGGATTAATTTGAACTGATTCTATTTTGAAATGGATGAATTCGTCTATATCCTTGTTAAAATGTTATGTCATTCGTTTGGTGCAAGGTTCTAAAAGACACTAGGTGCTAGTTAGGCGGCGGGTTGGAGCCTAGTGCCTAGGCGGGCGCCTAGACGAACTAGGCGGATTTAAGTAAATCCATTATATTTCGTGTAAATAAATGTCTATTTATACTTAAAATATATATAATTTCATCATAAAGTACAAAATAGATGACATTTATATTATGAAGTATTGGAACATAATGAAAACATGGGAAACGAGCATATAATGTGTGCTCATTTAAGTATTCAACAAGTCTTTTACAATTTATTGAAAAAATAAAATGTAAAATTAAAGTTATCTATTTTCTTTTTAAGTGAGTCGTATCCTAGGTGGGCTAGGCTGGTGCCTACGCGGTCTAGGCGGACGCCTCAACAGGTCTAGGTGCATTTTTCTTAATTTTCAAACGCCTAAGCATTAATCAGGATGGTGGTCAGCTGCCTAGCGCTTAGACAGGGCCTAGGTGGCGCTAGGCGAGGATTTTTAGAACAGTGGTTTGGTGTTTATTGATGGGAAAGACAGCGTCCTGATTCAGATGGTTAGATGCCCAATAGATGAAGGGGAAGCATATGAGGTTTCAGAAAGAAACATTGGTTATGGGAAATGTCATACCATATTGTTATGTATTGTAGCAAACAATAAAGAAAATGAATCTTTTAGGGTACATTGAAGTAAGATCTTCCCGTGTTGTGACTGGAGAGGGAACGTGTTATGCATTTTGAAGCCAGATGGATAAGGGAAGCTAGGAGCAGTTTTTGGAATTCCCAAAAAAACGGGGTTGTAATTCCTGGCTTCTGATCAGTGTATTAAAAGCGTGAGGCGTGGGCGAGGTGTCCGAGGGGAAGTCGGGCCTAGGCGTGAGGCGAAGCCTCACGGGACCTAAATTTTTTAATATATACACTGAGCGTACACATATATTATATTAAAAATAAGAAGATTATTAATCAATAATCATCCTGAGTACACACATATATTATAAATATGGAATTGCTTAAGGGGAGGGATCCCCATTTTTTCAAAAAAATGGGGACACGCTCCCCACCGTTGGATTTGAATTAAATGAAATCCTGTGGTTGAGATTCTATGGCCTGTGTTTTAATCTCAACCACACAATTTCATTAAAGTCAATCTAACGGTGGGGAGCGTATCCCCATTTTTTTTGAAAAAATGGGGATCCCTCCCCTTAAGCCCCCTGTTATAAATATATATATACACACATATATATACATATATTATTATATATACATAAAATAGAGGATGAAAAGCACAATGAGCACACATATAACAATGCACGCAAACAATACACACATCCATTATATAAAAAATAAAAATCAGAAAAAGGCATAGAGACAAAAGTGCAAGGAAGAGGTATGAGGCAGTTAAAATTCTACCTAAAATTTGGGTTTGGGAGTAAAGAAAAAAAAAAAAAAAAAAAAAACATTGAGGCGCGCCTAGGCGGCTCCGGCGAAGCCTCTCGCCCACTCCAACAAAACTGAGGCGTTAGCCATGGAGCCCAGCCTCAAGGGCGCCCTAGGTGCGCCTCGAGGCGAGTTTTTTAAAACATTGCTTCTGATAGATGTTTTCTTGCTGGTACTTGGTCAAAATTTAGGAATTTCACACATTCCATTCTCATCAATAGGAAAAAAGTGTTCTAAAAGCTCTGGTTAATTGACTTGACAAACTGTAGTGATCAACCATTTTAACTGAGTTTTACTGAAAAGTAATGCATTTTTTATGGTTTGTATGCTTAGCTCATTCTGCAGATATTAACTTAATCGAAAATCTAAGCAGCAAAAAGAATTTGACTCTTTTGAGAAACCGCTTATGACATTTGCAGGATATGTTGGGGAATTGGAGTATCAGAGCAAATGCTCCCGAAGATGATCTATTTGTTTCAATTTCGGTTCAACACCCAAACCTTGGCAATTATTTCACAGCTACCCTAAAAGCCAAAAGGGTATCCTCAACTTCGGCATCTGATCACGCACTGTTTTTCTGGTTGATGCCGCATAAGGTTGCAGTGTGGATTTATTGGCATGTAAGTATAGTTAGATACTGCTTTACTTGTTCTTGGTAATCTAACTAAAAGAAAAAACCTTCATGAGTAACTATTTGCAGCAAGCTCAGTTACTAAATGCAGTTGCTAAACTTAGGAACTAATTCAAGATTTAATTGACTCGTCCAAGTTGAGATTATGTCAGCAGGATGCGTATCCGTCAAACATTGAATCAACTGATGTTTTTCTATTACCATTTCTATCTCAGGCCTTCAAACTGTGGTGGAAAAATGTGTCATTTGTCCAACATCCAAGGTACTCCAACCCTGCATATAGGGAGGAAGCTTTGGTACGTGATAGAAAACTTCAATGCTGTCCGGCTGTTGGATTTGGTGAAGATAAATGGCATCTGCAACTTGAAGGAAATGGTCAAGGATGTATAGCTAACAGCGGGGATCGTTTTTGTACATGGAGAGATGCTAAGTGGCCTTGGTGTTGACTCCAAAAGGTCGGACTAGCTTGGTCCTCTACGTTAACATGGGACACAAATCGTGGCAAAGAAGTTTGGTTTCTCTGTATCTGCCTAGCTTTTTGGATTAGTTCAGCTCCCTCCTGAACATGAGCTGCTTCATACTCACACTACTTGTCGAAAACGTCGGATTCGTCTTTCATTTTTCTTTTATTTTTTCATGTAATTTTGTTTCTATATGTGATGGAATGGTAACTACTTTTAGTTTTGAGTGATATTCAAGTTGTGGGATATCAAATCAAGGCCAATCCACTTCACATGCTATGGGCAGCCTAAAATGCCTTAGAAATCAAGGGCCTTAATTCTTCAGAGCAACAAACAACAAAAAGAAATACTCAAGCAGAAGAGTTTACTCGTGACGAAAATATTTGGTTGCTTGTAAGTACGGAATTTATTTCTCTTTATATGCAAACCACAGTTTAACATGTGTTCATAAACTTATCATTTTGTAATTTTACTGATTCATTTTGTAAATGTCAAATTGTGGTTGACATGCAACGATAAATGGCTCGTGTAAAGGAGCCAAATAGTATATGACATTTAGAAAATTTTCAGTATACCTACCACATAGCAACGTTGTGTTACAAATGAACTAAAATCATAATACATGCAACTATTAAGTAATATTTTATAAAATATAAGAGCTCGTTTGGAAGTATTTTTAAAATAACTGAAAGCGCTTTGGTGAAATTGATTTTGGTTTCAAAAACATATCAAGTGATTTTACATAATCTAATTGGATTTTTACTGAATATTGGTTTAAAAAATATTTTTATCAAAAACGATTTCAGTCATTTTAAAAGCACTTTCAAACGAGCCCTAAATTTTAACATATGCTTATATAATAACACTTAAATTAAGAATCACATAGTGCCACGAGGATCACACCCTTTCTCTTTTTTATGATGCTCATTTATGTTTAATATTTAGTTTAAGAGTCCTACAAGAATGTTAGTTGTGTTTTTGGCTTAAAATAATCTTTATTTCCACTTATAATTATTGAAGGAAACCTCGAGGTTTAATGAAAATTAAAATAAATATATCTATCCATTTGTTTTTTCTTTGCTTGAAATGAGTATCAATTGTGAATAGAAAGAAACATTGTATTCGGATCCTCTGCTTTTTCAGGCGGGCTGCTTTTAACTAATAAATTATATTCTTCGTGGTGCGAGTTAGTACACAAATGAAGAAATTAATACAAGCAAATTATGAATTAGAGACTTAACATACATGCATGCACCACTAAACATGCATGCATTCACCAATGTATTAGTTGGCTAACGATGAGGCGAAGGTCAAAGAAATTTAGAATTAACATAATTAAGCACCAGATTTTGAAGCTAATTGTATCCAACGTCAACCATCGGGTTGTTGCGGTTCTAGCTCCAGGCCGATACGGGCTCCCATAAATTGCTGTCGTTTCAACTCGTTTCGGTTGAGCTAAGGAACTTCCTACCACCGCATGATTAACTGATTAGGCTTTCTCTAGAAACAAGTAAACTATAGTATTCTCTCTACTCTTGTCAATGTTTTGTCATATGGACCTGGCTTCTCTGCCCTCCCAGTTCCCATACATTCACATCCTCTCCTATTTTGTGCGGTCGCGGTTAAGCCACGTCAACATTTTATATTAATTTTTTTTATAAGGATAATAAGACAAAAAGCAATAGTAATATAAAATGTTGACGTGGCTTAACCGTACCCGCACAAATAAGAGAATATGGGAATGTATGAGAACTGGGAAGGCAGAGAAGCCAGGTCCTTGTCATATACCAAGTGCGTACTACTCAGTGTTCCGCCTCTAGCACTCATCACGTAATAGAATGAGTAGAATACATAATTGAACTAGTGTTGAAAATCTTATATTATGGTAATAATGTGACTAAAAACAATTCCATTCACGTACTCCTCGTTCTAGTTACACAATATGGTTGTCAAATATTCTAATCTTTATATATTAAACAAATTAACAAGTTTCTGCAGATTATTAATTAAAGTTTAAGCAAAAGGCCCTTTAATTCATTAAATTAAGTCGTACAAAAAATAATTGTAATTTTTAATATCGTGGGAGTTTAAGCAAAAGGCCCTTTAATTCATTAAATTAAGTCGTACCAAAAATCATTGTAATTTTTAATGTCGGGTCCCATTGCGGCCATGCCCTATAAACATATGCCAAACCATGCCAATTTTAAATCCCGCCACAAAAATATTCTCTTTTCTGTCATTTTAAATGATAGAAATTGAAAAAGACATTTTAGTTAGAATGGTTTATGAGATTGACATAATTTCTTACTTTGATTTATGAGATTTACAATCAATATAACTGACCTCTGAGTTTGACTATCGTCAATCATTTTGGTCATTATACAAAATCTTTGTTAATAAGACCAAAATAACAAAAACACTCTCAATTTAATAACAATGGACCAAAATGATTTGACAAAAATGGAATTTTTGTCATTTTCCTTATTCAATGGATATTTTTCACGGAATTATCAAAATGATCAACGATGGATAAACTCAGGGACTAATTCTATTGACTTTAAATCTTAATGACCAAAATGAGGAATTATGTCAATCTAGTAGACCATTTGGCTAAAAAGCCATTAAAAAAAATAGGAAAACTAATTAAACGAACTTGAAAACTTTGAGTTTTAACAATAAGGATGAAATAAAGAGTAAAGTGAATAGTACCATAATTGACTTTTTAGTGTAAAAATATGATTTTCGTTAAAATTCGTTAAAATTAACAGTACCAGGAGCTTTTCATTAAAATTCCCTTAAAAAAATAGCTTCCACAATTTTCATGGGAAAATCCGAGTTGTAATAACTTGATGTGTACAGAGGAATATGATGATGCCACGTCGGCGATTTTATACGGAGCCCCCATTCTTTGGTGTGTAAACGGATGCAGTGAGGAAAAAATATCCGCCGAGGAGTTCCGGCTGCGCGCACCATGCTCGTTTCATCGAGGCATTGATCACGTGCTTGAAAATAACAAGTGGAAGTTGCCCTTTTCTTAGGTGGCCAGAAACCGGAACCGCGATGATTGGTCACCAATGCTGGAAAACCTGCACCCCCGCCGACGAATGGTCCATACCCACCTGCCCAAAAGGTTGACCGGAAAATATACCTACAACCTTTTCATTTTTAGACTTTACCAAGAGTTGTTACACTCTACCAACCATACAAAGTTGTAAGAATTCGGAATCATGTAACAAATTAGACTCGTTAAATTTATTCATCAAATATAGAGTTTTTATCATAAATGGTCTTTGAATTTGACCACCAATATCAAGATGGTCATTGAAATTAAAAATCAATTAATATAGTCCCTAAAAATGGGTGTTGCAAATCAATATGGTCATTCCGTCACAATTCTGTTAAATTTTTTGTTAAGTGTTGATGTGACACATAAATAGGTCCCACAAGATTTACAGGTTTTTATCACAAATGGTCTCTGAAATTGACACCATCAAGATGGTTCTTGAAATTGACCCAGATCATCAATATGGTCCCCGAAATTGAAAATCAATCAATATAGTCATTGAAAATAGATGTCGCAAATCAATATGATCATTCCGCCACAATTAAGTAAAAAAATTTGGTAAGTGCTGATGTGAATTTAATAATTAATTGAAAAAAGTTGTCTAAATACCTTTTTGCACAATGAATTTTTTTTCTTATAGTAGAGCCTACTCCGAAGAGAGATCATTTCCATAAATTCTCAAAGGCACAAGGCTTAACCAAGGCCTCAAAGGGGATGTAGAAATAGTTTTCAACCAACAATGGATGCACCACGGTTATAACCTCATTATCTCAAGACATACCTTGTCGTTCTTTGCATCACCAGACCACCAAGGAAGCGCCGAACAAGCTCTCTAAGATTAAGGTTGAGAGGATGTTAATCGCCTAAATGTTAATGGTAATGTCCTAGTAATAGTTGCCAATGGGTCAAGCCGTCACCAAAGGTGATCTCGATTCAAGTCCAATTAGGTGAAGAGTGTTGAAGTGTGTAAAGATGAATGTATTAGATTCTTTTTAGAGAATAGAGAGCGAATGAGATTGAGAAATGTGGACTAGGATCGGAGGTGATTGCAGGACTGGGATTTTGGGTTGACAAATTTTTTTTTTATTAACTATTAAATTATTAAGCCCATTTGTAATTTTTATAATTTAATTAGACTTGTGTGACCCATTTATGTGTCACATCAGCATATAACAGAATTTTTGACATAATTGTGACGGAATGACTACATTGATTTGAGATACTTACTTGCAGAACTACATTGATCAATTTTCAATTTCAGAGACCATTTTGATTCGAGGGTAAATTTCAAGGACCATTTTGATGTCGTGAGTCAATTTCGAGGACCATTTGTGAGAAAAAATGACTCATGGGGTCTATTTATGTGTCACATCAGTATTTAACAGAATTTTTAATAGAATTGTGACGGAATGACCATATTGATTTGCCTATTTTCAGGGACTACATTGACTGATTTTCAATTTTAAGGACCATCTTGATGGTGATGATCAATTTCAGAGATCATTTGTGATAAAAAAAAAACCTCAAATATAACATTCAATATGCACCCAATAGCGGTTAAAAAAATAATTTTCATTGTATAAGTGTTATTAACGAAACCGTTAGCATCAACTTTCTTTATTTTCTTTATTAAACTTGTAGTTTGGCTTAAGGTTGAAGCTTTTAAAGTTAGATATTCAGATAGACAGACAACTGACTCACTTCCTACTGCTCTAATATTGTCCCAATTTAATCACTTATTTTTCCTTAATTCTTCAATGTGAGACTTATATTCAACATTTATATATATATATATATATACACACACACACACACACACACATATATATATATACACACACACACACATATATCTCTCTCTCTTTTGGCTACCTACCTTGGCTTAGTCTAACGCCATTCTATCAAGTAAGATTACCCCGGTAGTATCCATTCTCAAAGAGAATATCAATAATATTGGACAACTTCATGTATAGTTAGTTACGAAGGTTACAACCCATGACTGTAGATACAAAGGTAACAACCCGTAATATATGATTGTGTCTATAACACTTACTGTTGATATAATGTCATATGTGTTTGTCATTTATTAACATAGTTTCAGGGACGAATCTAGACTTGGCTTGGGTGGGCTATAGCCCAGTATAGATTCCGAAGAAAAATCTACTGGAAATATGACTTTAACCCCTCAAATTTAAATTTTTCCATATAAAACCCGACATAATGTTTTTACTAAAAAAAAAACCCAGTGACTAGGATCCGCCTAAGTGAATTCATTAATTACATATTACTTTACACATTTTACATTTTTTAGATGCCTAAAATACCCCTATTGCATATTTGATGTGCACAATTAATTCTATGCGGATTGTAAGGAGAGA